CATCGCGGGCGCCGAACTTTCCTGTGTGCGCGAACCAATCTGAAGTTGCTATGGTAGGTGTATTTGAACATGGGCCACCCGAATATGCGACAACATTCGGGCCGGTTGATGCTTTTTCCTACGCCTATAGGGATCCGCGCGTTTTCTTAGCATTTGTGGGCAGGCACGGCCGTCATCGCGGACGCTGAATTTTCCTTTGCGCGCGAACCAATCTCAAGTTGCTCTAGTAGGTGTATCTGAACATGGGCCACCCGAAAAAGCGACAACATTCGGGCCGGTCGATGCTTTTCCCTACGCCTATAGCGATCCGCGCGCTTGCTTAGCATTTGTGGGCAGGCACGGCCGTCATCGCGGGCGCAGAACTTTCCTGTGCGCGCGAACCAATCTGAAGTTGCTCTGGTAGGTGGATTTGAACATGGGCCACCCGAACATGCGACAACATTCGGGTCGGTCGATGCTTTTCCCTACGCCTATAGGGATCCGCGCGCTTGCTTATCATTTGTCGGCAGGCACGGCCGTCATCGCGGGCGCCGAAATTTTCTGTGCGCGCGAACCAATCTGAACTTGCTCTGGCAGGTGTATTTGAACATGGGCCACCCGAACATGCGACAACATTCGGGTCGGTCGATGCTTTTCCCTACGCCTAGAGGGATCCGCGCGCTTGCTTAGCATTTGTCGGCAGGCACGGCCGTCATCGCGGGCGCCGAACTTTCCTGTGCGCGCGAACCAATCTCAAGTTGCTCTAGCAGGTGTATTTGAACATGGGCCACCCGAAAAAGCGACAACATTCGGGCCGGTCGATGCTTTTCCCTACGCCTAGAGGGATCCGCGCGCTTGCTTAGCATTTGTCGGCAGGCACGGCCGTCATCGCGGGCGCCGAACTTTCCTGTGCGCGCGAACCAATCTCAAGTTGCTCTGGTAGGTGTATTTGAACATGGGCCACCCGAAAAAGCGACAACATTCGGGCCGGTCGATGCTTTTCCCTACGCCTATAGGGATCCGCGCGCTTGCTTGGCGTTTGTGGGCAGGCACGGCCGTCATCGCGGGCGCCGAACGTTCCTGTGCGCGCAAACCAATCTGAAGTTGCTCTGGTAGGTGTATTTGAACATGGGCCACCCGAATATGCGACAACTTTCGGGTCGGTCGACGCTTTTCCCTACTCCTATAGCGATCCGCGGGCTTGCTTATCATTTGTCGGCAGGCACGGCCGTCATCGCGGGCGCCGAACTTTCCTGTGCGCGCGAACCAATCTGAAGTTGCTCTGGTAGGTGTATTTGAACATGGGCCACCTGAATATGCGACAATATTCGGGTCGGTCGATGCTTTTCCCTACGCCTAGAGGGATCCGCGCGCTTGCTTAGCATTTGTCGGCAGGCACGGCCGTCATCGCGGGCGCCGAACTTTCCTGTGCGCGCGAACCAATCTGAAGTTGCTTTGGTAGGTGTATTTGAACATGGGCCACCCGAATTTGCGACAACATTCCGGTCGGTCGATGCTTTTCCCTACGCCTATAGGGATCCGCGTGCTTGCTTAGCATTTGTCGGCAGGCACGGCCGTCATCGCGGGCGCCGAACTTTCCGTGCGCGCGAACCAATCCGAAGTTGCTCTAGTAGGTGTATTTGAACATGGGCCACCCGAATTTGCGACAACATTCCGGTCGGTCGATGCTTTTCCCTACGCCTATAGGGATCCGCGCGCTTGCTTAGCATTTGTCGGCAGGCACGGCCGTCATCGCGGGCGCCGAACTTTCCTGTGCGCGCGAACCAATCTGAAGTTGCTCTGGTAGGTGTATTTGAACATGGGCCATTCGATTTTTGCAACAATATTCGGGTCGGTCGATGCTTTTCCCTACGTCTATAGGGATCCGTGCGCTTGCTTAGCATTTGTCGGCAGGCACGGCCGTCACCGCGGGCGCCGAACTTTCCTATGCGCTCTAACCAATCTGAAGTTGCTCTGGTAGGTGTATTTGAACATGGGCCACTCAAATATGCAACATCATTCGGGTCGGTCGATGCTTTTCCCTACGCCTATAGGGATCCATGCGCTTCCTTATGTCAGAGATAGTAGGCAGAAAGATAGAACACGAAAGAGGGTTTGCACTAGCAGGCAGTTGAGTACATATAGGAAACCCAAAATTGGCCTGTACTCGCTATAGAGTACCCCACTGCAGGCTAGACAAATACAACATTCTGACACACCCCCATTGCCAAAGTGGGGTGTAATCAGCACAATAAGCAGGCAGAGCAATTGTTCACAATGATAAGTAAAGCTAGAGGCTATCACAGAGGGCAAGTGAGGAGGAGGAGAGACTGTGGGGGCGAGAAGATGGGAGGCAATGGCTGAAGCTGCAGACACAATGTAGCGGCTGGCTCAGTGGCTACCGAAGCAAAGGCCCGGACTTCAGGAGTAACTGGCTCCGCGGCTACACCGAGCGACTGGAGCAACTGACCCACGGGCGACTGGCGACTACCGGAGATTGTAGCCTCCGGACTACTGGCGCTGCGGACGACAAGACGGCTGCCTCCACTCAACCTCCCCCAGTTGTCCCACACCCCTTTCACACACCCCCTGCTGCACCCCTAGCTCCACTCCCACGTCACCCCCCTAGCACCACTCCCTCGGCTCCCACACACCCACCCCCCTCAGCGGCAGCTGCAGCAGTGAGAGACGGAGGAGGAGGAGGTGCAAGTGGCGACACACACACCCGCCACCCCCATACCCGCCACCCCGCAGTTGCACGAGGGCAGGAGGCAGCAGGGGCGGCTCGCGGGTTGCAGGGGCGGCTCGCGTGGGCTGCCGGGGCAGCTCGCGGGCTGCAGGGGCGGTTCACGAGCTGCAGGAGGGGAAGCGCGCGGGCCCCCGAGGGCGCCTCGACGGGCGACGGGAGGGGGCCGCGCGTTGGCCCTCAAGGGCGCCTCGACGGGCGACGGAAGTGGGGGCCGCACGGGCCCCCGAGGGCGCCACGACGGGCGACGGGAGGGGGCCGTGCGTGGGCCCCCGAGGGCGCCACGACGGGCGACGGGAGGGGGCCGCGCGCGAGCCCCCGAGGGCGCCTCGACGGGCGACGGGAGGGGGGCGTGCGCGGGCCCCCGAGGGCGCCACGACGGGCGACGGGAGGGGGCCGCGCGCGGGCCCCCGAGGGCGCCACAACGGGCGACGGGAGGGGGGGGGGGCGCGCGCGAGCCCCTGAGGGCGCCCTCGACGGGCGACGGGGGGCGACGCCCTGGTCGACGGGGCAGGAAACCGCCGCGCGCCCCGAGCGCTCGGCGGGCAGAAAACCGCCATGCGCCTCGAGCGCGTGGCGGGAAGAAAAAAACGTCGCGCGCCACGGGGCGCGCGACAGACAGGACAGCAGCGGAAGCTAACAGTGGGCCCACAGGCTAGGAGCGTAACCGCTCTGATAGCATGTCAGAGATAGTAGGCAGAAAGATAGAACACGAAAGAGGGTTTGCACTAGCAGGCAGTTGAGTACATATAGGAAACCCTAAATTGGCTTGTACTCGCTATAGAGTACCCCACTGCAGGCTAGACAAATACAACATTCTAACACCTTAGCATTTGTCGGCAGGCACGGCCGTCATCGCGGGCACCGAACTTTTCTGTGCGCGCGAACCAATCTGAAGTTGCTCTGGTAGGTGTATTTGAACATGGGCCACCCGAATATGCAACAACATTCGGGTCGGTCGATGCTTTTCCCTACGCCTATAGGGATCCATGCGCTTGCTTAGCATTTGTCGGCAGGCACGGCCGTCATCGCGGGCGCCGAACTTTTCTGTGCGTAAAAACCAATCTGAAGTTGCTCTGGTAGGTGTATTTGAACATGGGCCACCCGAATATGTAACAACATTCGGGTCGGTCGATGCTTTTCCCTACACCTATAGGGATCCACGCGCTTGCTTAGCATTTGTCGGCAGGCACGGCCGTCATCGCGGGCGCCGAACTTTTTTGTGCGCGCGAACCAATGTGAAGTTGCTCTGGTAGGTGTATTTGAACATGGGCCACCCGAAAAATGCAACAACATTCGGGTCGGTCGATGCTTTTCCCTACGCCTATAGGGATCCATGCGCTTGCTTAGCATTTGTCGGCATGCACGGCCGTCATCGCAGGCGCCGAACTTTTTTGTGCGCGCGAACCAATATGAAGTTGCTCTGGTAGGTGTATTTGAACATGGGCCACCCGAATATGCAACAACATTTGGGTCAATCGATGCTTTTCCCTATGCCTATAGGGATCCATGCGCTTCCTTAGCATTTGTGGGCAGGCACGGCCGTCATCGCGGGCGCCGAACTTTTTTGTGCGCGCGAACCAATGTGAAGTTGCTCTGGTAGGTGTATTTGAACATGGGCCACCCGAATATGCAACAACATTCGGGTCGGTCGATGCTTTTCCCTATGCCTATAGGGATCCATGCGCTTCCTTAGCATTTGTGGGCAGGCACGGCCGTCATCGCGGGCGCCGAACTTTTCTGTGCGTGCGAACCAATCTGAAGCTGCTCTGGTAGGTGTTATTAAACATGGGCCACCTGAATATGCAACAATATTCGGGTTGTTGCATGCTTTTCCCTACGCCTATAGGGGTCCATGCGCTTCCTTAGCATTTGTGAGCAGGCACGGCCGTCATCGCGGGCGCCGAACTTTTCTGTGCGCGCGAACCAAGCTGAAGCTGCTCTGGTATGTGTATTTGAACATGGGCCACCTAAATATGCAACAACAATCGGGTCGTTCGATGCCTTTCCCTACGCCTATAGGGATCCATGCGCTTCCTTAGCATTTGTGGGCAGACTCGGCCGTCATCGCAGGCGCCGAACAATTATGTGCGCGCGAACCAAGCTGAAGTTGCTCTGGTAGGTGTATTTGAACATGGGCCACCCGGAAAAGCAACAATATTTGGGTTGTTGGATGCTTTTCCCTACGCCTATAGGGATCCATGCGCTTCCTTAGCATTTGTCGGCAGGCTCATCTCCCTTCTCCCTACTTTCGTCACCCTTCTCCCTACTATCATCACCCTTCTCCTTTCTCCCTACTCTCATCTCTCTTCTCCCTACTCTCATCTCCCTTCTCCCTACTCTCATCACCCTTCTCCCTACTCTCATCACCCTTTTCCCTACTCTCATCACCCTTCTCCCTACTCTCATCACCCTTCTCCTTACTCTCATCTCCCTTCTCCCTACTCTCATCTCCCTTCTCCCTACTCTCGTCACCCTTCTCCCTACTCTCATCACCCTTCTCCCTACTCTCATCACCCATCTCCCTACTCTCATCAACCTTCTCCCTACTCTCACAACCCTTCTCTCTACTCTCATCACCCTTCTCTCTACTCTCATCACCCTTCTCCCTACGCTCATCTCCCTTCTCCCTACTCTCATCACCCTTCTCCATACTCTCATCACCCTTCTCCCTACTCTCATAACCCTTCTCCCTACTCTCAACACTCTTCTCCCTACTCTCATCACCCTTCTCCCTACTTTCATCTCCCTTCTCCCTTCTCTCATCACCCTTTTCCCTACTCTCATCACCCATGCGCTTCCTTTCCTTAGCATTTGTGGGCAGGCACGGCCGTCATCGCGAGCGTCGAACTTTTCTGTGTGCGCGAACCAAACTGAAGTTGCTCTGGTAGGTGTATTTGAATATGGGTCACCCGAATATGCAACAATATCTGGGTCGTTGGATGCTTTTCCCTACGCCTATATGGATCCATGCGCTTCCTTCGCATTTGTCAACAGGCACGGCCGCCATCGCGGGCGCCGAACTTTTCTGTGCGCGCGAACCAAGCTGAAATTGCTCTAGAAGGTGTATTTGAACATGAGCCACCCGAATATGCAACAATATTCAGGTCGTCGGATGCTTTTCCCTACGCCTATAGGGGTCCATGCGCTTCCTTAGCATTTGTCGGCAGGCGCGGCCGTCATCGCGGGCGCCGAACTTTTCTGTGCTCGCGAACCAATCTTAAGTTGCTCTGATAGGTCTATTTAAACATGGACCACCTGAATATGCAACAACAACCAGGTCATTCGATGATTTTCCCTACGCCTATAGGGATCCATGCGCTTTGTTAGCATTTGTGGGCAGACACGGCCGTCATCGCGGGCGCCGAACTTTTCTGTGCGCGCGAACCAGGCTGAAGTTGCTCTGGTAGGTGTATTTGAACATGGGCCACCCTAATATGCAACAATATTTGGGTCGTTGGATGCTTCTCCCTACGCCTATAGGGATCCATGCGCTTTCTTAGCATTTGTCGGCAGGCTCATCTCCCTTCTCCCTACTCTTATCACCCTTTTCCCTACTCTTCTCCCTTCTCCCTACTCTCATCACATTTCTCCCTACTCTCATCTCTCTTCTCCCTACTCTCATCTCCCTTCTCCCTACTCTCATCACCCTTCTCCCTACTCTTATCACCCTTCTCCCTACTTTCATCACCCTTCTCCCTACTCTCATCACCCTTCTCCCTACTCTCATCTCCCTTCTCCCTACTCTCATCACCCTTGTCCCTACTCTCATCACCCTTCTCCTTACTCTCATCACCCTTCTCCCTACTCACATCACCCTTCTTCCTACTCTCATCACCCTTCTCCCTACTCTCATCATCCTTCTCTCTACTCTCATCACCCTTTTCCCTCCTCTCATCACTCTTCTCCCTACTCTCATCTCCCTTCTCCCTACTCTCATCACCCTTCTCCCTACTCTCATCACCCTTCTCTCTACTCTCATCATCCTTCTCCCTACTCTCATCACCCTTCTCTCTACTCTTATCTCCCTTCTCCCTACTCTCATCACCCTTCTCCCTACTCTCATCACCCTTCTCCCTACTCTCATCACACTTCTCCCTACTCTCACCACCCATGCGCTTCCTTTCCTTAGCATTTGTGGGCAGGCACGGCCGTCATCGCGGGCGCCAAACTTTTCTGTGCGCGCGAACCAAGCTGAAGTTGCTTTGGTAGGTGTATTTGAACATGGGCCACCCAAATATGCAACAATAGCTGGGTCATTGGATGCTTTTCCCTACGCCTACAGGGATCCATGCGCTTCCTTAGCATTTGTCGACAGGCACGGCCGTCATCGCGGGCGCCGAACTTTTCTGTGCGCTCGAACCAAGCTGAAGTTGCTCTGATACGTGTATTTCAACATGGGCCACCCAAATATGCAACAATAATCGGGTCGTTGAATGATTTTCCCTACGCCTATAGGGATCCATGCGCTTCCTTAGCATTTGTTGGCAGGCACGGCCGTCATCGCGGACGCCGAACTTTTCTGTGCGCTCGAACCAATCTGAAGTTGCTCTGGTAGGTGTATTTGAACATGGGCCACTTGAATATGCAACAACAATCGGGTCGTTCGATGCTTTTCCCTACGCCTATAGGGATCCATGCGCTTCCTTAGCATTTGCGGGCAGACACGGCCGTCATTGCGGGCGCCGAACTTTTCTGTGCGCGCGAACCAAGCTGAAGTTGCTCTGGTAGGTGCATTTTGAAGATGGGTCACCCGAATATGCAACAACATTTGGGTCGTTGGATGCTTTTTCCTACGCCGGCTCCCACCAGCTCATCGCCGTCAAGCATGCCGCCTTTGTTGAGCGCTCCTCCAAGATATCCACCATGTTCGAGGAGGAGGTGCCACTCCCCCCCACATGCACTCCATACTCTCCTCCTTGCTCTGCACCCGCGTTTCCCTTGCGCTCGTTTTGCATGCTTCGTGTTGCCGCTTTCCGCCTCCACGACGTGTGAATGAATGCCCGTGCGTGTGTGGGGTCTGTGGGGGGTGCAGGTGAAGGCGGTGTCGCGGCTGTACCACAGGAACCTGGTGCGCCTGCTGGGCTACTGCAGCGACCACATGGAGCAGGTGCTCGTGTATGAGTACGTGCCCAACGGTCCCCTCTTCGACCACCTCTACGGCACCATCAAAGGCAAGCCCTCCACCGCGCATGCTCCCCTCGCCTCATTTGCATCTGGTTCCTTCAGATTTTCTCATCGAATCGCCGCACCGTGCCCTTGCTTGCTCAGGTGCTCATGTCGTGCTTGCCATGTACCTTGTTCCTTTACGTCCCACTGCACCACTCTGCATGCCGCGTAACTGATCCCCCTGTGTGATGTGATGCGTGGCCGTGTGAGTGTGGGGGGTGGGCGGTAGCAGGGCAGCTGCTGTCGTTTGAGCAGGGCGTGGGAGCGGCAATAGGGCTGGCGGAGGGGCTGGTGTACCTGCACAACCACACTGAGCGCCCCACCGTGCGCCGTGACATCAAGCCCTCCAACGTGCTGCTCACCCATGACTACCAGGTAGGTATCCGCCCACTGCCCTCTCCTGCCGCCTGGGCCATGCCCATCAGCACCGTGCTTCCAAGGCCAGCCCCTCACAGGGCGCTAGTCATTCAGAAGGCGAGCAGTTCTCAGTCTCCATGTTCCACAGGTCATCTCCTCCTCCCCCATTGCTCCCACATTCCACTCACCCACACTTGTGCATGGGCATGTGCATGTGCGCGTGCATGGGCATGTGCATGTGCGTGTGCATGTGAGTGAGCGTGGGCATGGGTGCAGGTGAAGATAGCGGACTTGGGGTTGTTGAGGGAGGTGGGCAAGGAGGAGATGGGCACGTTCACCAAGGTGGCGGGCACACGGTGGGGGAGCTGCCGGCGGTGCCACTGCTGGAGCAGCGCCACACGGGGGGGTCGGCCATCAACCTGAGCTGGTCGCAGGAGGGCTCCAGTGAGGGCCGCCGCATGGGTGATTCGGGCAGCTGGGTGGCCAAGATCCTGGGCCGGGGCAAGCAGGGCACTGCTGCATGATGAACGCACACGGTGGTGTGGGGCTTGCTGCCTGGCACCTCTTGCGCGAGCTCTGCTGCTGGCGGCTCTCACCAGTCATCCTTGGCATCTGACGGACACATGTGCTGCATGCACCTCTGCTGGTGTCACGCGTGCGTGGGTGGAGAAGCCATGCCCACGGCCATTGTCGCTGGCACTGTTGTGTCTAAGGCACCCAAGCTGAATACGGTACCTGTATTGGGCCTGTGTGTGTGCTCGAGGCTGTGTTGTAGACAGCTGTGAGTTTGTATGCCTCAGGCAACAGTGGTTTGCAACCTGTTTTGTGTTGAATGTAACCTTTTGGTAGGCTGATAGTGTGTGTGTTGCCTGGGCACCTGTGTGGGTTCCTGAGGCTAGTGGATTATCTGTTGTCGCATCCAGCTGACTTGAGAGCCTGCCTTAACATGGCTGCTGAGGTGGCATTCCACGCCTGCAAGGCGGTGTTGCTGGAAGACACACACCATTTTTAGGATGCATTGACACAAATGTGCGACAAGGGGGTCAGAAGCAGCAATGGTATACCGTAGATACATCTGCGTGCCACTTAGCAGCACTCCCCTATTGACTCCCAACTGCACTCTCTCCTCCCTTGTTTCATCACTCCCCTATGCACCGCACCACTTCCTCCCGGCCCGTTCCTTCCCTGCTCTCCCTACCACACCATCTGTGCACATCACGAGTCCACCTCTTGGAGCACCTGAGGCACGGCCACAGCAGTATCGGCATCGCTGTCCATCCAGGCGGGGAGCGGCAGCCCCTTGGCGGTGAGGAAGGGCGGGTTGAAGAGGCGGCCCTGGTAGCGCGTGCCCAGGTCACACAGCACCGTCACGATGGTGTGGCCCGGCCCCATGGCGCGCGCCAGGCGCATGGCGCCCGCCACGTTGATGCCCGATGACAGCCCCACACACAGCCCCTCGTAGCGCAGCAGGTCGTACACCACTGGCAGCGCCTCCGCGTCCTCCACCTGCCACACACGGGGGGGTGACACAGCAGCAGGGAAGGTGCTGTGGCACACAGAGTACACGCGGGAGGTGCGGCAGCAGCGAGCAGCGCTGAGAGGGAATAGAGAGGCGAGTAAGAGTGTGGGTGGATGGAGTGAGGGCAGTTACCTGGCAGCAGAAGTCAACGCATCCCCCTTCTCTCTCCGGAAGCCCCCACCCCTGCAGGTTGCCTGTGATGCGCCCCTGCCCTATGCCCTCTGATATCTGCACACCATCGACAGCACACAGCGGCAGCAGGGGCCAGTGGTGAGAGCAGAGGTGGGGACTGCTGAGCACAGTGGTGGAAAGGACGCAGCTACCACTCCAGCCCCAGGCATTATAGTCCACCCAGCCCATCCACCCTTCCCGATTCGCCCTCTTTCCGCCTTCCCCAGTTTTAACCTTTTCCCAACATTACCCTTCTCCTTTCATCCCCCTTCCCCAGTCATCCCCCTGCGCCCATTCCCAAGGCGGTGTCTCACGGAGGAGCCGTGGGCCTCAAGCGTGCCGTTGTTGTAGTAGCTGAACATGGCGGCGCCCATTGGGTCCACCATGCCCACGCGCACCCCCGCCTTGCGCTCCTTCAGGTACTGCACACACCAGGGGAAAGGGTGGGGGGGGGGAGGTGGAGATGCGTATAGGGTAAGGACGTAACGGGCTAAGAGGGTGCGAGGTGCAGCACACGAGAGGACATGGAAGGGTGCAGTGCAACAGGGTTTGGGGACTTCAATCGCGCTACATTGCTGCAAGATTTTCAAATTCTTCAGGAGGCGCGGAAACCAGTTGACTAGCATCGCCATCCCCCTCTCCTCCCAGCCCTTCCCCGCCCCTTCACCCCGTCTCCCAGTTTACTCCTCCCTGCCACCCTCCCGTGAATCGCAAAGCCCACCTTGCCGGTGCCAGCGAGCGTGCCCCCCGTGCCAATGGCGCAGATGAACGCGTCCACTCGCCCCTCCGTCCAGATCTCCGGCCCTGCCACACACGCCCACATGCGCACAGCACCATGCACGCACACAAGGAGAGAGCGTTGTGACGAGGGCATGGACGCATGCAGAGAGTCACATGAGGACCTGGGAGAAATGTGCCATGACTCACCCGTTGTCTCGTAGTGCGCCTGGCGATTGGCTGTGTTGTCAAACTGAAGGGCAGCAGCAGGAGAGAACATACAGGGTTTGAAGGAAGAACAAAGGTGCAATGTAAGTCAAGAAAGCTAGGATAAAGATACAGGGTCTGAAGCATGGACGAACGACAAATGAGCAAAACAGGGAGGAAAGTGGAGCGTGGTGCGTAGCAAGAGCAGTGAGGGCGAGGCCGTTGATGCATCAGAGCATGCAGCCAGTCGCATCAACCCCACATCACGTGCGTCCCCCCAACCTCCCACTAGTAGCGCTCACCTGGTTGCCCCATATGGCACCGCCTGGATGTGTCTGCAGCACAGAGGACCACACGCAGAGCAGCGGGCAGGGAGAAATCAGTAGAACGAGGGAGCAGCAGAGCGAGAGCATGGTGGGGAGGGAGAAAGTATTTGGTGCAAGGCACGGCATGCACTGTGGCGACAGCGGTGGGATGCACGGACACACAGCATGGCGGAGGCGTGTGAGCAGGAGGGCACCTTGGCAATGGCTTGAGCGAGCCTGCCCGAGTACTTGACGTAGTTGTTGGGGTTCTTGTACGGCACTGCTGGCACCTGCACGCCCACCCCCACGCATGCATGCACGCCACGCCCACATGCCGGGTGCGCAAGGCAATGCACGGGAAGTAGCAGTGGAAGCTAAAAGTCAGTGTCTGGCGTGGTGGTGAGGATAGGGATGGTGATCGAGAGAGAGAAGAGAGGCTCGTTGGGTAGGACGAGCGGTGGTTGAGCGAGGTGCAGCAAGGGAGGAGGTGCATGGCGGACACGTACCTCTACCAGCGTGGCCCCCGCAATGCGCAGCATGTCCTTCTTCTCCTGCTCTTGCACGGCACTCACACATACGTGCACACATGCACACCACACCACACACAGACACACACACACGCACACACACACACACACACACACATACACACACTCACGTACACCCACCACACACCACACATACACAATCCACACACCACACACCACACACTACACACACCACACACACAGTTTATGAAGTGGGGGTAACAACGGCAGAGAAGGAAAGAAGCACATTGCTGCACATGTGCACGTGTGAGGGTGTGTGCGCACCTGGCTCTGCGTCTCGGGAATGACGATGACGGTCTTGTACCCACGTGCATTGGGCACCAGCGCCATCCCGATGCCCGCGTTGCCCGCCGTGCCCTCCACGATCACCCCGCCCTCCCTCAACTCGCCACTCGCCTCTGCCGCCTTGGGGGGGGAGGGTGTTGGGGGGCGGATTGGGGAGAGATATGAGGTGCAGGAGCAGCAGGGCGAAGGAGGGACGGCATGCAGCATGGGTGGCGTGCTCCACTCACCGCCATGCGCTCACCTTGATCATGTACAGTGCTGCCCGCTCCTTCACTGACCCACCCGGAATCATGTGCAACCTAAGAACTGCGGCCATTCGCTCCCCCGCTCCCCACCCGCCCGCCCTGCCCCCCTGCTTGTCCCCATTCTTCCCCACCTCCGCCTTTCCCCCCGCCCCGCTGTTGCCCCCCCAACTCCCCCCCTGTCCCCGCCCGCGGCTCCCCCCTCCCCCTCTCTCCGCGCACTGCTGCCCACCCCGCAACTTGCCTCCTCCCCATTCTCCGGCTCTCCCCCTATCGTCTCCATCCCCCCTATACTACTTTGGAAATCCCTGCGCGCACTAGAAAATCTTCCAGTGTAAATTCCACAATCGACAATTGCCGTTTTTGCTGCTGCCCTTGCCCCTGCGCTTGCTGCTGCTCCGCCTTCCCCTTTCCGCGCGTTTCTTCCGCTGACGTTCCCCCCCCCTCCGCTGCTTCCCCCTCCCCCGCTAGTTCCGCCTGAATGTCTTTCCACACTTCCTCCACGGTCCGCGCAGTCAGCGCGCGCGGAAGCGCCGCGGTGGACTTCTGTCGCCGCAGCGAGCGCGCGCGCAGCAGCCCCCCGGCCTTGTCGCGCGCGCGCGGATCGCCGCCGCCGGTGGCGTGCGCGGCGGCGAGCATGTGCAACTCCTCGGCGAGCCAGACGGATCGCAGGAAGTCGCCCATGGGCAAGGATGCGACGGGCCTGCGAACGTCGCCTGGAATTCGTCGAGCGTGAGCGAATACATGGACGCCTGCCGCGCGAGCTTCTCTGGGAATGCTATGGCGCGCGGGCGGAAAGGGGGCCGGAGAGGAGGAGAGGCGGAGGCGGAGGCTGGAAAGGCGGGGTACGAGAGGGATATATGTACAGAAAGAGCGACGCCCGTACGTAGAATTCGCGAGGCGCCTAGAAAACGTGGCGCAAGAGGAGATGCTTTGTACAAGAAGTGCGCTGCCTCAATGCTCTCCGCCGGCGTCGTCGGCGAATGAATTGGCGGTACTAGTATGGGCGCACTGACCTTGTCTCTAATTCGCCGTGGTGCACAACTAGCTTTCTCGACTAGTTACCGTGTGCTAGTAAGCTGCAAAGGGAACTGAGCGGTTCGGCCTTTCACGGCCTCTCACGCGCCTATCATGGCCTATCAGGGGTCTAATCCAGCCCGTTCCTAACGGCTCCTCCCATTCCCCTCCTCTCCCATCTTCTCGTCGCATAATCGCATCGTCGCGAGGGTGAATGGCGCAGGGTGATCGTACGGACGAGGCACGGGCACAAGGACGCCATGGCACGGCCTGAAGGAGGAAGAAAATGTGACTTCTAGAAGGAGCGAATCAAAGGAGGTGCGGCATACGGAGCTCCGAAGCGGGCCACGAAAAAAAATATGGGTCCAGACGGGAGAGGTATGAGCGAGAGCAGAGGCGACTCGGGATTTCAGGAGAGAGCAACAGAATGAAGTGCAAGCGGTTACGAGCAAGTAATCTCTGCTTTGCTACTGTTGTGAGTGACTTGCCTTTCTCTATAACCCGATAAAGGCGGACTCATCCCACCTACAGAGAGAATGTGGAACTCCTTTCTGTAATCTCAACTCATCTGACTTCTGGCTTGGTTGTTGCTGACGTGATTCACTTGCTTGATTGGTTCTTTTCTCCGCTGTTTCTCGTGCACGTGTCAGCAACCCATTCCCCAGTTAGCTGGTGAACTTTGCGTCTGTTTTTAGACTGAGGCTATTCTACACAGTACGTAAATTTCGGCTGTAGTGAATACTGTCTTATGTATATCTCGAGTTCCATTTCATGCCGACCAAAACCAAGTCCCATCGTTGTCGTTCTCGACTATTCTTCCCCTCCCACTTAGAGACATCATCAGCAGCCGCGTCGCGCGTGCTCTTAGTCTCCACCAACAGCATTTTTTCCGCCCTGGCAGTGCGGTTTCCCCGATTTTCGCCGAGCGTATTCCTTCTCTTCCGCGCAGCGTTTCCCGTTCCGCGCGACTCCGGCCCATGGCCCTCCGCGTCCACCCCGCCTTGCCCCCGGGAACCCACTCCCGCCCCTTGCCGAGTGTGACGCTAACGAGCGAACGATATAGGTGTGTCGTCGCCGCTGAAACATTCACACGCAATGCGCGCTTTATCGCAATGCGCGTTTCTTCTTCACACGTGGTGTAGGCCGCATACGCTGCTGCGATATGAACCACATTTCAGAACAAGAGCGGCTACACTCCTCATTTTCGAATCACCTACTCATGTCCTCCTTCTGGCCTCATTTCTTCTCCACTTGATTCCAACTCCTCATTCCCCCCGTTCTCTTCATTCTCTCGCCCGTCCCTCTCCTTGCCTCCCGTTCCCTGCTTCCTCTCCCATCCCCTCCCCTCCTTGTTCTCGTTCTTTTTCCCCCTTCGCCAACCGCCCTCTCCCATTTGTTTTCAGAATACCCTTGCCCCGTGCGCGCCTACTCTCCTCCGCTCACTCGCTAGCCGCCGCGTCCCCTTTCCGCGCCGACTGCTGCGCCACTCCGCCAAGCGCAACGCGCGCTCTCCCCTACAGGCGGAGGGCGTGGCGCGTAGCGGCTGCAGGGGGCGAGGGCGAGGCGGATGCGGGGGCGTCGGTGACCTCTGCGGGGGATAGCGCAGTGAGGACGGGTGAGTGGGGATGGTGAGAGCGGGTGAGTGGAGGTGGGAGAGTGGGGGCGGGTGAGTGGCAGTGGCGAGGGGAGGGTGGGCGAGCGAGGTAGTTTTCCTTTCCTCCCCTCCTTCCGCCCTTCTCCCCTCCCCACAAGCGTCTCACGGGTTGTCCGTTTGATTCGCGCGGGTACCCCTCTGGATCGCTGGTCGACTTTACGACCGCTGCTGATGGCCGTGAGTCAACGAGGGGGAGGGTGGGGGGGGAGGGGGAGAGCAAGATGGGCAGTTGGGGCAGGGAGAAGAGGGGAGAGTGAGAGGAAAGGGATGCCCAAATGAATGCATGATGACATGCTACACTCCACCCCCATTCCCGGCCATTCCGCCCCCCCACCCCGTTCCCCTCAGACCCCGTGTTCCTGCTGTCCCCCCTGGGAATGCACTCGCGCAACCTCCAATCCGACCTGCGCTGCACCGTGGTGGTGCAAATCCCTCCTCCTGCCATTCCCCTCATCACCCCCACCTCACCTGCCCACCCCCCAACCCCTCCGTTCCCCCCAGACCCTGTCTTCCTGCTGTCCCCTCTCGGCATGCACTCGCGCAACCTCCAATCGGACCCGCGCTGCACCGTGGTGGTGCAGATCCCTCCTCCTGCCATTCCCCTCATCACCCCCACCTCACCTGCCCACCCCCCAACCCCTCCGTTCCCCCCAGACCCTGTCTTCCTGCTGTCCCCTCTCGGCATGCACTCGCGCAACCTCCAGACCCGCGCTGCACCGTGGTGGTGCAGATCCCGGGGTGGAGTGGCCTTGCCAATGCGCGCGCCACCATATTCGGGAATTCGTGCACGCTGTACCCCCACGCGCAGGAGTGGGCGCGGGCCGTTTGTGTGAAGAGGCACCAGCACGCGGCACATGAGTGCTCCTTGCACTATGCATCCACTACTGCTCGTCACCTCCCTCCATTTCCCCCCTTCTTTCCCCCGCCTCCACATCTTACCGTGGCCAGCAGTGGGCGCGGGGATTTTATGTGAAGCGGCACCAGCACGGGGCGGCGCAGCAGTGCTTCCATTTCTATCGCGTGGATACCATCTGGTAACTGCATGGATAGGGTAACCGCACGCATGGATTGTATCTGGTGACCGAGTGGTCATTGTTGTGATGCATTCTTGTGTGTTTGAAGCAAACATTCTGGCACAGTGGCTCTATATTAAGGCAATTCTTTTCCACGCCCCTGTCCTTCTCTCCCTTTCCCGATCACCCCCAGCGACATCTATTTTGTGCGTGGGTTTGGCACAGTGGCATGGATACTCGTGGCTGAGTATGTGCCTGCCACGCCTGATACCGTTGCCACCAACCATGCGAGCACGCGCTGCAGGTGAGGGTGAGGGCACATACTCTGTGCTCACTGGTGAGTTTCTGTGGCTGAGCATGTGCCTGGCAGCCACACCCGATACCGTCGCCACCAACCAAGTCGCACCTGCAGGTGAGCTGTGCAGCACACATGACCCTGGTGGGTGGTCCACCATGAAAGAATTGTGTGCTCTTCTTTCTGCTTCCTCCTTCCTGTCCCCCCCTCTCTTCTTCCCTCCTTCCTCTTTCCCTTCCCCACTCTCTCCTTTCTCCGCGTGACAGCAACCGATCGACCAGCCGGGGGTGGAACCGAGGTCGGTGCTGGCAGGCCCATGCAGTGCGCACTGTCATTCTGCTCCCCCCTTTCTGCTCTCCTTCTCCCTTCGCCGCCTCTCATTCTGCTTCCCCCTTTCTGCTCTCCTTCTCCCTTCATCGCCTCTCATTGTGCTCTCCTCCCCTCTTCAACAGGAGCTGAATGACCGGCTGGGGGCTGAGCTGAGGGCAGTCCTGGCGGGGTCGATGCGTGAGAATTGTCATTGTGCATGAGCTTCACAACCTGTTAGGCTAGTGCTGACAGGGTCGAGCAATGAGCTAAGCATGGGATTATGCTCAAAGCTCATGTGCTGGCCTGCCACATGTGAAGCTGTGCACTGGGCTGCGGATCCTGGCAAGACGTGCTGCTGGCAATTCTCCATCGTTCTGACAGGCACTTGCTCGCTGCTGTGCGCTGCAGGTGTGTGCATGGGATGATGCGTTGCTGCAGTGCTTGACCTCACAGCCCAGTTCTACTTGCGTGTATGGTACTACACTTAGTCACACCCTCTCTCTCACCCTCACTTGCACACACACTCACTCACACCCTCACTCACACACCCTCATACACACACGTTCTCACGCAGATTCACACTGTCCCCCTTGCACACGCAAGTAACCTAGTCGTCTCACAGATGTGCGTGCGCCTATCGCCCTCCCCCCGTTCCAGTGGGCAGCGCAACGCAAGCATCACGTACTGCCGCACGTGCATCTCATCGAGCCTCACAAAGCACTTGCCCGAGTGCCCTCATGGCGGGCCGTGTGCTGGGCAGCATCACCACCTCCCTGCCCCTCCATCGTTGAGAGCTGGCCCATCGCCGCACACTGCAAGGTGGGTGGTTCATGGATAGGGAGCGGGGAAAGGAGGTGGGTGGGGAAAGGGGGGTGAATTTGGGGAAGTGCCGATGGTATACCCGTGCTTTCGATTGCCTCGTTCTATGGTCCCCGTTCTCTCTCCCTTTGCAGTACTCCTGTATCAGCCTACCTGCACAGTCATTAGTGGCTCCACTCCATCCCACCCACCCAACTTGATGGCACCTACTCGCACTCACCCCCTTCCCTTCACCCTCCACTCGCTGCTGCGTGCTGCCTCTCATCTGCACTCCCCTTCACTGCGCTCAATCCTGCATCGTTTCTCCTCCATGTACAAGACGCACATCCAATCCCTCCATACTACACCCCGCCTCACTGCACCCCATCACGCTGCACCGCATCCCACTGCAGCATGCCTGGCCACCACCCCATGCACCAGGTGGTTGACCTGCTCAATGCGTGCATCGCCATCTCCCTGCCTGCCTTGCCTCATCATTCTCTGTGCTCAGCTGTGGGAGCTCTCCCTCTGCACCTGCCGCCTTGCCGCCCATCATGACACTCCCACAGTCACTATCACTGCCATGGCTCAAGTGTCTACAGCTCCAGTAACAACCTGATGGGTGCTTGGTCTGCTGTGAGAATTTTCTTAAGGCCTGCTTAGGTCGCAGGCGTTCCGAGTTCTTGACTTGGAACTCTCTTTTCTTGCTTATGTTGCCTCGTTGCTTCAACCTCCAACATTTCACCTGTTGCACGTGTTGAGCACATACGGTGTTGCACCTATTTATGTGATGCGGCGCATCTACTCCTCGCACCTTCACTCCACTCCACAGCCATGTCACCCCATGCCACTCCATGCCGACCCACACCACTCAAGACAACATGGCACCCTATCCTGTTTCAGCGGCCCCCACCCCCTCATGGCAGAATCTCTCCACAGGGCAGGCGTTGTTGCCCACGAGTAGTGCCAGGTTGAGAGAAGGGGCACTGCTGTGGCACTGTGTGGGTGTGCAGTGGTTGCATTCTTGATGCCTGGCTTTGATGCCCGCACACCGCACGTGCCCCTGTGCTCAGTGGCTTACATGGCATAGCATGGGGAGAGGAGGGGTAGCTCATGGCACGGTTGAGGAGTGACTGACAGGCAACTGGTCGGTGCTTTCGGTGCTGCTCACATCACACTGCTGCACTGGTGCTGGTTCAAATCTGAAGATGTTCAAGTACCGTTACTAGATTGGTTAGATATGTCGCATGTGCTGGACGCAATTGCTGAGAAAGGGAAACCCATGGGCCACGTGTAAGGCCTGCAATCAAGCAATTCCTCAGGTTCTTCCAGAGGTGCAATTCACATTGCAGTTTACACAATCTACCTGCTGAAGTACCATTGACTGACGTCCAGACATACGTGCAACTCGCTTAGCATTCTCTATAGAAAAACAGAATCTAACCTCCGTGACTGGCCATTTTATTCCGGCCTTGACCAACACGTGTGGCTCTTTAGCAGAAGACAGGCCTAGCCCCCATCACCATACAAAGACAACGCACCGGAAAACTACACTCCCCCAACTCAATCCAACGCCATAGCAGCCCCACTATCGTCACAATTAACCTCCTCGCACTGCCCTTCACGTTCACTCCCCCCCTGCATCTGCTCCACATGCTGCTGCTCCTCCCCACACTGCTCTGCCCCTTCTCGAGCCTTGTGCATGCACCCCTGCCCCAGGTCCACCTCCCCTCGCAGCACTGCGTCTGCTATCGTCACCACCTCATGTGCCTGTAGCCTCTCTTGAGCGTCCCCGTGCAGCAGTGCAAACACCAGCTCCCTCAGGTGCTCCGACCGCCCACACCCAGCACCCACCGCTGCATCCGCCGCTGCCACAGCTGCTGCCGCAGCCGCTGCTGCTGCACTCCAATCCTTCCCCGACCCTCCTCCTGCCGCACCTGCCACAGCGCCTGCCAGGCCCCCACTCCCTCTACGCCCCATGCTCTTGCACGGACTGCCTCCTGTGCCTCTCTCTGCTGGACTACCAACCCCATCCCCTCCCCCCTTCACTGGGCTGCTACCACTCCCCCCCATGGGCTTCACAGGACTGCCCCCCATGCCCCCCCGCGTCCCCAACCCCTTCAGCGGACTCCCTCCCCCCTTGGCAGGGCTACCTGCCCCTCGCGACGTGGAGCGCGGCGGGGGGAAGCTGGGGTTGGCGCGACAAGGCGCAGAGGCCACAGGCGAGGGCGCAGCAGAGGAGAAAGCCACGCAGTACGGAGAGGGGCTGTAGGGGGACGGCATGCCGTAGGGGGAGGGGGCGCCGTGCGCACTGAAAGGGGAGGGCGCGCCACAGGGGGAGGGGCAGGCGGAGGGTGGTAGGCCAGAGCGCGGGAGGCGGGTGGCGAAGACGAGCTCAAAGAGCATGGCGCCAAAGCTGTACATGTCAGTCGCTGTGGTGGGTGGCTCGTCCTGTAGCAGCTCCGGAGCTAGGTACCCCCCATCACCCTCCTCCCAATCCCACCGCTGCTCCCACACCGCTCGCCCAAAGTCCCCGATCTTGAGATTGCCTGCAGGCATCACCCAGCACACACCGCCAGGGGGTTGGTTGTGAGCAGCACATCACGTGCAAGAGACGGAGCGAGACATGGGTACGACGCATGTGATCAACAAAGATACAGAGGAAGAGAAGCAGAGAGAGAGTGTTGGACGGCAGGAGGAAAAGAGAGAGGATGGAAGGCAGGAGGGCGGAGGGGGGGGGGGCGCAAGGCATGGCGGGGGCGAAGAGAGGGAGGGGGGTTGGGGGCGGGAAGGGGGTGGGTGGGTGTGTGGTACCATGGGCGTCAATGAAGATGTTGTCTGGCTTGATGTCCAGGTGCAGCACGCCCCTGCTGTGAATGTGATCCAACCCTGATGCCACCTGCCGCACGAACCTCCACACCTGCACTCCACACGCACACACATGCGCGCATGCACAAGCACAGTCGCACTGGTGAGGCACTGCATTGCAAGGCTGCAAGCTACAGCCCTTAGGCAACGAGACCCAGAACATGCGGTGGTTGGGGGGCGTGGTGATGAAGAGGGCATGCTGCAGACGTTAGCAGTGGTCGAGAACAAGGGAGCGAGTGATACCTCCCCCGCAGCTACTGCAGAAATGCACCTCCCTTATCCCCTCATCAGGCACCCAACCACGTGCCCCATGCCCATATGTCATGCGATGCGCCATGCGACATGCCCCATGCCCCCTGCCCCATGCCCCATGCGCCATGCCTCAAGCTCCATGCCTCACGCTCCATGCCTCACGCTCCATACCCACAGCCTGTGAGTTCGCAAGTCACTCCCCCCTCTCGACTTTATGTCTAGGGCCACTAAAAAAACCATGGGCGCTGGTATTCCAACACATCCCCTCCCCCAACCCACCCGCCCTTTCCCCCCGCGCTGCACCCTGCCCCACGCATGCGCGTGCATGCTCGCGCACCTGGTCCTCGGGCAGCGGTTGCGGGAGCGAGTCGAGGAGGGCGCGCAGGCTGCCGCCCTCGCAGAGCTCCATCTGCAGGTAGAAGTGGCTGTCCTGCTGCCACCCGCGGTAGTACCGCACGATGTGCGCGTGCTCCGGCACGTTCGCCACGCTCTCGATCTCGTGCATGTACCGCTCGCGTTCGCCCTTGCTGCGGAACTGCCGCTTGCTCACCTTCACCGCGCACCGCGCGCCGCCCTTGCGGTCGCGCGCCTCGTACACCTGCGCGCGCGGGGAGAAGGAAAGAATTGGGGGAGGAAAGGGAGGGGGAAAAGGAGGGGGTGAAGGGGGGGGGGGAGGTGTGGGGGGGTTGGGGGTATGAGAAAGGTAAGAGGAGAGGGTACAGGGGATGGTGAAAGTTTTGGGAACGGACCAGGAGCGAGAGCAGAAACAGGAAGAGTGAGGCAAGAAGCAGTGGGATGGGGCGGGGCGGAAGGCGAGAGGGGTGCAAGACGGGGGGCGATCACTGTGAAATGGGGTGGGCTGGGAAGAGGGTGGGGGGTGGGCGTGGAGGCGAGCGGGACTGACGGACCATGCTGTAGGAGCCGCGGCCTATCTCGCGCACGAATTCGAAGTGGCGGTCGAAGAGGAATATGGAGTGCGACCGCTTCAGCTGCGTCGTCATCAGCAGCTTCGTGTCGTGCAGACTGCTCGTGCGACACATCTCGCCTCGCACCCTGCGCACCGCGTTTCGCACAGACACACACATATACACGCACACAGCGCAACAACCCCCCACCCCACACACGTCACATTAGCACCATCAACTCCAAACGTTCCGACTGCCGCGCCAGGCAGAAACGCGCTGGACACGCGGAGACGTATCTATCATGAGCGCGGACACGAGGGTGGAATTGCGCGACTAGGAAAAGGCGGGCGCAGCGCGGCGAGCGGCATACCTGGAGTTGGGGGCGTCCGGGCACTCGAGGTCCGTGGAACGCGGAGCCATGCTGGGCGTGCTGGGCGACCCCGGCTCCTCCTCCTCCTCGCCCTCCATTCCCCCGCCCATAGCCCCCCCCATGGCCCCCCCCATGCCCATCATCACTGTTCCCCCCACCGTGAGCGGAAGCCCCTCGACTTCCGCCTCCCATTGGCGCATCAGCTGCAGAGACTCCGCGGACCCCAGCCCCTTGTCGTCCCCGCCCACCATCCACTCCGCCTGCTGCGCGCCCCACCCGCCCTCCTCCGCCACCCCGCTGCCCTCCAGCGACCACGCGTGCTGCGCCGACCGCATCTGCCAATCAAGGGCACGGGGTTTGGGGGAGAGGCGCAGGGAACGCGTTGGGGGTGTAGGGGGGAGGGTGGAAGGGTGGAAGGATGAGAGAGGGAGAGGGGCTTTTAATATATGCGAGGGGTTGAGACGCGGGGAAATGAAGGGATCGTGCGAGAGGAAAGAACGCGGAGCGGCGCGGCCGACGCACCTCTTGGCTGAGGCTCTGCCAGTGCCAGCCCCCGGAGCTTCCAGACGGCGCTGGGTGCGCGGCGAAGGCTGGCGGGGACGGGTGCGCGGAGGGCGACGCGGCGGAGGCGGCGAGCAGAAGGTCCTCGAACGCGCCGCTGCTGCGCCCGCTGCCGCTGCGACCCAGGCGGTACTCCTTGGAATAGCTCGGGTTGCGCGGCAGCGGGATGGGCGGCAGATGGCCGCGGCGCACTTTGCCCCCTCTGCTGCACGCGTCGATGTTCAGAGGCGGCAGCGCGGGCCGCAAGAAACACTTCTCGCTACCGCCCGCGTCGGCCGCGCCGTCAAGAACGGCACAATCCGCGTCGATTTGATCCGCGCCCCTGCCAACCCCGGCTCCGGCTTCCGCCAACTGCGGAAGGCTCTCCTCCCCTGCCACGTGCGCGTGCGCCGACGCCGACGGCATTTGTAATGACGGCACAGAACTTATGTCCATGGCCGACGCCGACGACGATGGCGACGGCAACGGCGACTGCATTTGTGACGGAGGAAACGTCGCCACTGTCGCTAACGTCGCCGGCGTGGGCTCCGCGGTAGTTGGAGCGGAGGCGGGCGCCTGGGTTGGCGTGTCGGCGAGCGAAAAGGATTGAGAGAGAGGCGAGGGGAGAAGCTGGTGGAAGGGCGGCATGCGCATGGGCGAGAGGAGCTCCGGGGAAGGGTTGGCGCCGAAGCGGAACTCGGGAGACGCTGCTGACGACGGCGTCTGAGGGCCTGGAGTGAGCGGTGGCAGCGGGGAGAGACAACAGCGGAGACATAACAGCAGCTTAACCAATGCCTTGCAGACGGCAGTGCAAATCCGACACGGAAGCTTAATGAATTAACACCGGGAAACGCGATTGCGATTATTTTCAAGCCAAGCGGACGAAGTGTGAGTCCATAGTAGGTCCGAGAGGACGAATACACGACACGGGGAGGCCGCAGCCAGGGGAACTTACAGAAGAGCACACTTATCGGGGACGATTCGGGGACATCGGATGTAGCGATCTTGGCTCCGAGTGGCATGCTGGAAGGCGATTGCATCTCTGCAGCCGCGGAAGAGCCGAGCGCCTTTCCTGCGGAAAGGCCGGCATGCGAGGCGAGTCGTCGCTGCTGCTGAATCTGATCCGCGCCGTCCTGCTGCTGCAGCCGATCCATCAAGTTCCTCCCGACCCCGCTGCTGGAATTGCCGAAGAGAGACGTGCGCGATAGAGGGCGCTGACTACCGTTGTTGCGCGTGGCGCCGCCGCTCGGTGGTTGTCGAGGGCTATCGGAGGCCCCGCATGAAAAGTCTAAACGGGGCATCCAGCCTTTTAAGGGGCTTCCGTTGCCTAACGTCGGATCCGTTGAATTAAGTGACATTTCAACTAGTGGAGGATGGGGTGAAAGTTGCACAGAAGCTGGTAATCCTCTTGACTGCATTGACATCACCGCATAAGATGCTTTAGGGTAAGTTAAAAAGGCGGCAGTCCTTACTACACATGGAGGCGGATCTGAATTTCCGAAGTGCCGCACAATCAAGCTGATCTAACCCACTGTGGAGCTTTGTAGAGAGCTTTGTAAAGCAGAGCCTGAGAGCAGCAGATGGGGTGCGGCCCTTGCTGGAGCCCCATTCTTGCCTCACTGCGAGGCTTGGGCTTTGCTTTGTGCCCTCCGCACAGTGAACGCCACCTCCATTGGGTCTTGGTGGTTTAGTCAATGTCACCGTTTTAGAGCGCATTAAAACCCACATCAGCGTACACGACCTTTTTAATGTCTATACTTCTCCCGAGCCTGTTTTACCGCGTCTGGATTACGATAATACGCTCGCGGAAGTTCGCACTCGTGTCGGTTAGCTTCGTCAAGCACCCAGATGATCTGGCACGTGGTGCTGCCGAAGACGAGAGCCATGGGGTTGCTGCTCGGGCCAGACCTCCAAGGGCAAACACACCCAACCAGAACTCAGAGCATGGGAGAGAAAGCGCGGGAAACTGGAGATGGGCGGGAATTCCAAGGCGATGGAGGGTTGCTGCTGTGTGTGGCAATTGGTGGCTTGGTGTGAACCGTTCAGCTGCAACAAGGTGCCCAATCAAAATGTCTTCACCGTTCGATCTGCTACACCTGGAACTCTACCGTCTCCAAAAGAAAGAATGACCTCGATCAAAAATGCGAAAATTCACGTGAAGCGGGAAACCTTCCTGTCAGGCATGTGCAACTTGGTGTCAAGCGAAACCAGACGTTAGGTTCGTGGTGTCAGTGTTCTGACATGAGCATGGCAGCCAATGAATGTGCAGATTCAGGTTGTGCGTGCGCGAAGAGATAGACTCAGTGTCCGAGCCAGCAAGTGTCATGACTCATAAACGCCCATGTGTAAGTGTTACGAGTGCAATGGAGTGAACGAACGAGAATTGCACTATCGAAGCAAGAGTACAATGAGCGAAGGCATGAGCGAAGAATATATAGCGAAACTACAGTGGTAACGGTAATGGACTGTGGTTGTCGCGCGGCGGGCCTGGGACTGAGGTTGGGAAAAAGTGTCGAAGCGGAGGCCCGGAGCGCGGGTTACCCGCCGAGCCGTGGGGTGCGATGTGCGAAGGTGGCGGGCAGATTGTCGATGCGAGGGTTGCGAGTGGTAACGGTGCTGACTGTGGTGCTACAGTGATGTACGCGTTGAGCAGGGATGCGAAGTAAGGAAAAGGAATTTTCCTTACACTACCCCCCCCCTTAAGGAGGTCCTCCTTACGAGAGTGCGTGTACATCCCTGAAATTCCGGCTGCGCAGATACTCGGTGAGGACGGGGTGGTTTTCGATTCTGTCCAGGGGAACCCAATTGTCTTCGGTGGGTGTACGGTCCTTCCAGCGGAGTAAGAACTCGATCCTTCGGGCTCCTCGAGGGTCGCGAACTCTGTGACTCAGGATTTTCTCGGGGGTGATGATTGGTTCAGTCGGTGGTCTTGTCATGCTGGCTGGGCGATTGCGTGGCAGTTGGCTCATGGACGGGACGTAAGGGCGAAGTAGGCTGACGTGGAATGAGGGGCTGACGTACCAGTCAGCAGGGAGGAGGAGGTGGGCGGTGACTGGTGTAAGCATGTGGCTTATGCGAAATGGCCCGCAGTACCGGGGGCGGAGTTTCGGAGTGATGGGCAGTCGGAGGTTCTGAGTGTCAAGTAAAACTAAGTCGTCGGGCTGGTAAGTGACGGGTCTACGGTGGCGGTCGGCGTTGCGTTTAGCGATGATGTTCGATTTTTTTATTGCGTCTACTGCCCGGGTCCGTGCTGCTTGTAATATTTCGGCGAACTGTTGCGCGCGTGGAACCGGGTTGTCGGGATTCGGGGTCATGGGTACTGTTGGGTTTTGTCCGTAATTCAGGTAAAACGGTGACTGTTGGGTCGTGGCGGATGGGGCGTTGTTGTATGCGAATTCGATGAGTGGCAGTTGCTGTTCCCACGTGTTTGGGTCGTCGCACGTGGCCCGGATGAGCTGTTCCATGGTCTGATTTGTCCGTTCTGTCTGTCCGTCTGTTTCGGGGTGGTACGATGAACTAAATTGTAGTCGCGTGCCGAACTGCTGCCACAGGTTCCGCCAGAAGTTGCTGGTGAATTTCGTGTCTCTGTCGCTGATGATCGATGCTGGTATCCCGTGCAGTCGAACGACGGTAGAGATGAAGAGGCGGGCTGTTTCTTCGGCTGTGATTGATTTTTTGCAGGCTGCGAAGTGTGCCATTTTCGTCAGTCGATCGACGACGACCAGGATCGCGTCATTTTCACTCGCCCCGGCCGGTAACCCCGTGACGAAGTCCATCGTCACCTGCTGCCAAGCACGCTCTGGAGGGGGGATTGGCTGCAACTGTCCCGCCGGCCGCTTCCGTGTTGACTTCATGATCTGGCAAGTGGGACACGATGCCACGTGTCGCTGCACATCTTTCAACATTTCGGGCCAGTAATAATACCGCTGCAGCTGCTTGTCAGAATGTTATTCTCTAGCCTGTAGTGGGGTGCTCTATAGCGAGTACAACCCATCTAGGGTTTGCTATATGTATCCTCATTGCTGCTAGTGAAAACCCTCTCTTTTGCCTAAACTTCTCTTGCCTAGCTAGGACTTACCTAGCTATGGCTCCTAACTCTACCTACTATCTTCACATGGAATCAGAGCACATACGCTCCTGGCCTGTGGGCCCTCCTACTGCTTCCGCTGCCCTACGCTGTGTCGCGCGCCCCGTGGTGCGCGGCCTCTTATTTTTCATCCCGCCGCGCGCTCGGGGCGCGCGGCGGTTTTCTGCCCGCCGTGCGCCCCGAGGCGCGCGGCGGTTTACTGCTGTCGGGGAGCCAGCGCGCGCCCCGCCCGTCCGTCGCGGAGCCCTGGGGAGCACGCGCGGCCCCCCGCCCTGCCCGTCGCGGCGCGCTGGGGAGCCCGCGAGCCCCCCGTCCGTCCGTCGCGACGCCCTCGGGAGCCCGCGAGCGCCCCGCCCGTCGGTCGCGACGCACTGGGGAGCCAGCGGGCGCCCTGCGTGGTCGTCGCGACGTCCTGGGGAGGCCGCGCGCGCCCCGTCAGCTCGTCGCGGCGCCCTCGGGAGGCCGCGCGCGCCCCGCCAGGCCGTCGCGGCGCCCTGGGGAGCCGCGCGCGCGTCCCCCCCGCCCGTCCGTCGCGGCGCCCAGGGGAGCAGCGCGCGCCACGCCCCTTCCCTCGCCCCACCCGTACGTTCTGGCGCCCTAGAGGCGCGCGCCTTCCCCCCCCTCTCCGTCCCCCGCGCTCCTGCCCCTATCCCACCCGTTTTAGGGTTTGGGGGTGAGGAGTGTGGGGGTGGTGGTTGTGGGGGTGTCCGTTGTGCGCGCCGTGTCCTTCTCCTCCTCCTCCTCCTCCTCCTTTGTCTCCCACTGCTGCAGCTGTCGCTGAGGGGGGTGGATGAGTGGGAGACTGGGGTTTAGGGTTTTAGGGGGGTGCGTGGGAGTGGAGCTAGGGTTTGAGCAGTGGGTGTGTGTCGAGGGTGTGGGGCAGTTGGGGGAGGTTGTGTGGAGGTACCTGTCGTGTCGCTTGCAGCGCCTGTAGTCCGTCGCCCTTGCTTCGGTAGCCAGTGAGCCTGCTGCACCAGTCGCCAGTGGGTCCGTTGCTCCTGCCGCTCTTCTATAGCCGCCGAGCCAGTTACTCCAGTAGTCCGTCGCCCTTGCTTCGGTAGCCTCTGAGTCAGCCGCTCCTGTGCCCGTGCCTCTGCAGCTTCAGTCGTTGCCTCCCATCTTCTCTACCTCCACAGCTCCTCCTCCTCCTCACTTGCCCGCTGTGATTAGCTCTAGCTTTGCTTACCTTTGTGAACTCCTGCTCTATACCTGCTTGCTCATTGTACTAATTACACCCCACTTTGGCTATGGGGGTGTGTCAGAATGTTATTCTCTAGCCTGTAGTGGGGTGCTCTATAGCGAGTACAACCCATCTAGGGTTTGCTATATGTATCCTCATTGCTGCTAGTGAAAACCCTCTCTTTTGCCTAAACTTCTCTTGCCTAGCTAGGACTTACCTAGCTATGGCTCCTAACTCTACCTACTATCTTCACACTGCTGCCGTGTTTTCTCTACCCCGAAATGTCCCGAGGTAACCCCGTCGTGTGCCTCTTGTAATAGTAATTCCCGTAGCAGTGTGTACCCTGGTACCTAGATACGGTCGGTCCCGGCTTTTACGTAATAGACTCCCTTGGCTGCTGCGAACTGCTGCGAATTTCCTCCTGTGAAGAATGGGTCCGTTTGGTATCCGTGGGTAAATAGTCCTGTCAGTAGCGGGCTGGTCTGGGCGAGTAGTATCGCGTGGATCTGGGCAGTGGGGCGGGTCAGTGCGTCGGCGATGTTCGAGGCTCCTTTTTTATAGGTGACTGTGTAGTGGAAGTTGGACTCGAGGAAATCGAGCCAGCGGATCTGTCGTGGGTTGAGGTGTGGCTGTGCGCGAAGGTACTGTAGTGATTTATGGTCTGTCCGTACTGTCACGTCCGCGCCAGTCAAGTAACAGCGCCATACTTTGAACGCGTGCACGATCGCAAGCATTTCGCGGTCGTGTATCGGGTAATTTTTCTCGGGCGGATGCAGTTTTCGTGACTCGTATGCGATAGGCTGTAGGCCATTGCCGAAATCCTGTAGCAGTACGGCTCCGATGGCGATATCGCTTGCGTTGGTAACTACTTCGAATGGGCGGTGTGGGTCGGCGATGCGCAGGACGGGCGGGGAACAGAGAACATTTTTCAGGGCAGAGAAGGCAGCATGCTCTTTCTCCCCCCACGTAAAAGCGACCCCCTTCCGTAGTAAGTCCGTAAGTGGGGCAGTTAACCGTGCCATATCGGGGACGAA